ACCAAGAATGGCTTATAAAAGCTCTAAATCTCCCCAAAAAGGGATCAAACGAATAAGCAAGCAAGGTACAGACTTTATACCTTTCAAACACTGCAAATGATGCACGAAACTCGAATCCTTCAGTCTCCTCTTGATCCTTCTATTCTCTTCCTTCTTCCTTGTGATCAAAACCCACAAAATCACTCAAAAGCTTTAGATCTTGCACCAAAACACTTAGGGTTTGATATGGAGGGTTTCTGGGAGCATAAAGGGGCGATGGAGGCTGTATAAGGTTGTTTAAATAGGGTGCAAACCCTCAGATTAGGGTTTTGTCCAGACAGAGCCTACTCGTCGAGTCCAGGACCTGACTCGACGAGTCCCATACTTAAATCCCGCGTCTCATCCCGCTTCTACTCAGCGAGTTGGGCCTTCAACTCGCCGAGTCCCAGGCCAAAAATGAAAAATTACTTAAATAAAATACATACCAGGAACCAGGTGCTACATGGCTATTATGCTTTGATACTACTGTTCATTTGTTTATGATACTGTACATGAAGTCATCCACCCCTAGACGTTTCCGCCGTTCAGGTTTGGAGGTGTGATAGATAGGGACATGGTTCTTCATCTTTCCTATGATGCTCCAATCAAATTATAATATGACTAGGAAATCCAAACTCACCAAATGCTCAATACTTTTCCATCTTCGATCTAATAGAGTTAATCAAGCCAGTTGAAGATACTTAATACAATGAAAGGAAGCGTAAAAGTGACTTTTTAAGGAAATAAGAAACTTTACTATGGTTAGTCCAATAGAATAATCATCAAAGTCAAAGGCTTTTGCACGCTTGCATTCAAAACATCTCCACACTACTCTTTTAATCTCTCGGGAGTAATGAAGAAGAACACTGTAGATTCCCATTTTCTCGATTGGATCGGTGCAAAAGATATTAGCAAGAAGATAATCGTGTATGAACATGGTGAACAAGATATGTGAGTAAAAACTGTAGTAGATAGATAAAGAGATATAAAATATTATAAGAACACTCATGGGTTGGGAGAGATAACTCTCCCATGGTGGGAGAGATCCCACCACACTCTCTCTAAACTACAAAGTCTACATAGTGAACACTAATATAAAAAATAACCATCACCTCCATTTTATATACTAGTGGAGGGAATATGTTTTTCATACAAGGGAATATTCTAACCTAATAAACACTCAACATTATGGAGCATTTTCATGCTCCAACAATCTCCCCCTAAATGCTCGGAAATGGTGAGGGTAAAGCAGTGATAAAAGGCAGAACATCCGACAGGCAGGTCTAGTGGGTCTGGTGCTGAAGCGTCTGGGAAGTGCTGAAGCTGTCGTGATATCGGAATCTGGTAATGGAATCTCTAGCATCAAAGAACAAACAGAGAAACCCCAATCTCTGAATAAAAGTATGAAATCCCAATCTTCGAATGTGATCAGTCCCCAACAACTAATTATGTTCACAATCTCCCCCCTAGACTGTAGAACCGAAGAGCACAATCTCGAATCACACAATGTCTTCAATATTCCGAAATCGAATGATAATGCACCAAATAAACTTTGAAGAATAACCTGCTGAAAATGTGAAGCATCCAAAAGTGAAGTCCGAATAATAAATAATATGAATCCGAAGACATGGTCTAGCAATGCCAAAAATTTGATCGGAAGATCAAAAATAAGTGTCACGCCGCATCGCTAAAATAATCATCGTCTTCAAAATATCGCAAATCCAAACTCGAACAATCATAAGATCTGAACCAGATGCAAACACAAATGAGACATCCCAATGTGTGGAGTCTGAAGATAAATAATCATAATCTGAAGAACATCAAGTAATGCCAAAAATTCGATCTGTAAAGATCAAAAATCAGTGCCACATCACACTACTAAATCATTCTCCGTATTCAAATGTCTCTAACGTCAAAACTCAAATAAATCAAAATGGATGCTCATGATTCTCCCCCTATTTTTGATCGACCATGCAATAAAGATCAAAAATAATCATGAAACCGGGCAAGAGAATATGCCGGATATGATAGAGGATCGCACGCTCCCCCTTGATGTGAGCATCTACCCGTAAAAACGAGGATATTATTTTTCGGTCATGGGTAGACTTGGTGATGTATTGCCGAACTGAACAAACACTGTTGAATATATATGATAAACCCGCTGCTGAAGAACCATAATGTTGAACTGAAGTAATGCCTAAAACAGAAATGCAAACCCGAACTCCCAAATAATGGTCCGAAGGGAGTAAAAATGCGAACCTCGGAAATGATCAATCTCTGGAGTAAATGGTTCATCAAACAAGATGTTCTTCAAATTTAGCAGAAAGCATTGGCACTCCAACTCTTTCTGAAGATCATCATGAATGATGCTATTGAATCTACCAAAGCGTTTGATGCAGTGAAGATCGATATAGTGAGACAAATCAAATAAATCTTTGTTGTTCGAAGATTCTATAAGAAGGTGGTGTAATTTTTACAAAAATCCCACAAGCACTATTTAAGGTTGCTCATGTCACTTTAGGGAGATTTTTTAACCTTTAAGTAACCCCCCACAACTCTAACCATCAGTAACATTGTCCGAAGATTAGAGCTACCAAAGAAGTATGTGTCTGGAGATGTTAATCCAGTAGTTAGTTAAGATGCTCAATCCTTAACCGCCTTAACCGTTGCAGAGCATCTTATTTAATTTTGTGTCATATGTTATTTACCAGATTGACCTTCCACTTTCTTATATAAAGGAGATTGGGTTGTGGTTTCCCTTACATCTTCCAAGACAATATCACTTGAAATGTATATCATATTGCTTTTTTGTTCATCTTGCTTGTTTACTTTACGATCAAATCTTTTATTATTGTTCTTTATATCAGTTGTTAAGTTCATTATTTCACACTTAAGCATTTGTCATCGAATAATATCATCGTTTATCACTTATTAATATTTCTATGACCATTTATACTTGTGTAGGGAATATATTTGTTGAATGTTCAATATATTTTTTGTGTTTTATATATCTAATATCTTTTTTTTATCATATTTTATTTAGCTTTTAATTATATTTGTTATTTTTAAATATTTATGAAATATAAATTTTGTAAAGATTATACAATATTATAAATTTTTTTTATAACTATAACTTAATCATTTTTTCGTACTTTATGTATACAAATGAATACCAAAAATATTTATATTTATATTTTTCTATTGAGATATAATTCATGTTTAATAACATGTAATTAGCAAGACGGTTTTATATAATATTTTATATATTAATTAAACTTAAAAAAAATATTAAAAGAGGTTAACTATTGAAAAGACTTTTTAGTTATATCTTAAAATTAATGAAATGAAACCACCACCTCGGTGGCCTAATGGTGGAAAGGTTTGATAAATCACTCACCAAAAAGGGGTGACGCGGGTTCAATCCTGCATGGTTTCAATTGAGGGGTGCTTAACGACCTTCAAAATTACGCTTTAAATGGTTTGTGTTGTCGTTTGGACAAAGGGCCTGAATACTGCTTTAGTATATAGATCATTGGTGACGATATGGATGAGTCATCCGCTAGAAAAAAAAAACCTATGATGTGACAATAATTTTTTGCCATACCATCGGTTAATCATACGAGATGTTATTAAGGTGTTGAAAATTATGATATCAGATAAAGTGTTAGAAAATAAATTATAACTATTTCAAAGTATTTGTTGTTCAAACTTTTACTTGTTAAAAGTTGTATGCATATGTAAAGATATATTTTTAATAAATAGTTGACAAATAAAAAATAACAAGTATATCAAATGGAGAGTAACAATAGAAAGATTATAAATGTCCTGAAAATTGTTCAAACTTTAACTTGTTAAAAATTGTATACATATTTAAAATGGGTTTTTTAAAAAGATATTTCATTTTTTCATATAGGCACTTTATTTTGATTTTTAAGATATTTTTATTGTTTGAATTTATATTGATTTTAAGATATTTATAAATGTCCTTAAATATATATTTTTTATAAATAGTCGACAAATAAAAAATAATAAGTATATGAAATGGAGAGTAAAATAAAAAGGATCTGTTATTAATACCCCGGTTTTTATCTTCTTATCCCTTTAATTATTACTAATTTGGTACAGATTTTATACTTTTAATTTTTATAACAGCTTTTCAGAGTATTAACCAATAAACACAAAATATCTTTTTTAACACATTGAAGAATGTGTCCAGTGCATCTAATGTTTTAATTATATTTCCGATAAGTTTTGAAATTGTTTTAATCACATTTTCAACCACAACAAACCCACGTTCGGCCACCAACCACCGTTGCCATCCACTACCACTACTGTCAGTGGCTACATGAAAGATCAGGAGAGAGACTAATCGAGAGAGAGAGAGAGAGAGATGTCGCCATTATCCAACGCCTCGCCACCTATTTCACCGGAGAAGAATGTGAATCTTCGTAATCAGACAAGCGTGAGAAAGAAACTCGTCGGAGCGTTGTACAGATGGGTAAAACGTCCCTTCAAATCGTCTTAATGGTTGGAGAGTGAGAAATAAGTAGTCGTAATCTGAAAACCTCGCCGGAAAGCGCATGACACCTTGCCAAAAATCGCCTGAAGCGCAGCCGGAAATAGAATAGTTTGTGGCCGGAAATTGCTTGAATAGTGGTCGGAAATCACCTCTCTCACGTCTTGGCGGCTAGAGCTTGTGCTAGGTTAAACGATAGTGTGATTTTTATATTTACAACTTTACATTAACAACCTCCAACTTTAAAGATAGTTCATTTTATACCCTCTAACTTAATATAGTTTATAATTTTTGTATGTGTATTTACTTTAACAAAAAACATCAATTTTTTTATTAAAAAAAGTATTGAATATCATTTATGTACTTTCTATTAATAAGAACACTAATTTTTATAATAGTTCTAAAAATTGAAACAACATACTTCGTAACAAACGTCCCTAGAACAGCGACGAAAAGAGAAGTATGGATGACATATGCAGGCTTCGGAAGGCTATCTGATGTATACATGGCGAACAACCGGGCGAAGAACGGGGAATACTTTGCGTTTATTCGCTTTTTGGGAGTGGAACATGCCAAGATGTTGGAACGACAACTGGATGGACAGACGCTCAGGGGCAGGACCCTCGCGGTGAACCTCTCCCTACATGAGAGGAAAGAACCAACAGGCCGCAGTAATAGAAACAATAGCAACGGCGGAAGGGGAAACCATGTCACACCGGCAGTCAACAAACCTGCACGACACACGGCTAGAACCAGCCTACGAGATAACCGCTCCTATGCAGACCTGATGAAACCTGTGCCCACACCTTCATTGGTTACACACCCACCAGGACCACCACTCCCGACCACCATTACGCTATACCATGAACTTGTAACGCAAAGTTGGCTGAGAAAAACAACACTTGTTGGGGAAGCTGTATCACTTGACCACCTTAGGCACCTCCCCAAGTTACTTCTTGCTAAAGGAGAAACTGGAATCGAGATAAAATATCTTGGAGGGCTAATGGTACTCATCATGTTTGATCACTCGGCTGCAGCAAAGGAATTCATGGCAAATGAGTACAAGTGGAAGGATCACCTCAAATGGGTTAACTAGGGAGATAAGACAGAAACATACTTTGAACGGGTGGCATGGATTCGAATTGTGGGCTTACCATTACAACTATGGGGCGAACACAACTTCAACGCAATATCCAGAAATTTTGGACGAACGATCGCCCCATACAATGACCTCCCCAATCGGGTCGACTTGTCACATGCTAAGCTTGACATCCTTACCACCAGAAGGACCCGAATTAACGAGGAGATCTATGTCGCCTTTGATGGGAAGGTATACACGTTGGGAATTATTGAGTTCGACCAAGACTGGTTCCCATTCAGATTCGACCCCTCTGAAGACTATCTCTATGCCCCCACGAACCAAGAATCCAACCAGGAAAAACCCCCAGTCCAAACCTCGCTGTATGAAAACACTGATAAACACATGAGAGAGGTGAATGAAGAAAGATCAGAAGAGAATATGGTAGAAGAAATGGAAGAGGGGGAGATTGGGCCGGAAACACAATACATTGACAATGAAACAACGAATGGGAGCGGTGACCGACGAAGCAGAACTTTCGATGGAAACTAGGTTTCCGACGGATGAAAACGAACAGTTAGACGAGGGAGGGGAAGAGTCACATAAGGAAGACATGATAGTGGTGACATAACCAATGTACGAGGATATCGAAGCAGCGCATGGGAAAACACAATACCTGGATACAGACACATGCCCCACCACCCCAATTATTGTAGCCCCAAACACATCCGGGCCAAGTAATGGGCTACCCCCCATCGAGTGTTTTGGGACCTTTCCCTCCACATCTTTCAGACCTTATGAAACCCATACACAATGGGCCAGTGAGTCCACAGGTAAAAGGAGAAGACTTGTAAGCAGGCAACGAAGTCTTAAAATCTCCACACCAATGCTAGACTCATCCAAGAACCTCCTGAACGCTCCATAACCTAATAACCCGATTTCGCCTCATAATGTACCGCTACCAGAATCACCCACTAACAGTGGCGAATCCCTTGATCTCAACACCCCCAAGTTAGACACCCACAAACTTTGGATGCTGAAGTAGATGTATCGGAATTACAAAGAACGGAAGAAATTAGGATGGAATTGGGGTTCAACATCACCCCAAATGACCCCATCCTACGCGATGCCATGGGCGAACCCGGTGAGCACATTATCCCCTAATGAATTGTATCAGTCTAAACATCAGGGGGATCGGAGAAGAACATAAAGTCCGATGGGTCAATAGGTTGAAGATTAGCAACAACGCTTCCTTTGTAGGTATTCAGGAAACCCAGATGGCCGACTTTAATTCAATCAATGTTGAAGGTTGTTGGGATTCTGATAAGGTTGGTTGCTCAGCTACCCAATCTACAGGCAGATCTGGTGGGTTACTAAGCATGTGGGACCCCACTAAATACATTGTATCTGAAACGATCAAATCACGACATTTTCTAATCACAATTGGGAACTGGCTGGGGATTCCTGGTGACACGATAATGGTCAATATATATGGTCCACATGCTCCAGTGGAAAAGAAACAATTGTGGAACGATCTATTGCAAATAAAAAGGGCGAAACAAGGTACATGGATCATTTTTGGTGATTTTAACACTGCGAGGCGTAGTGAAGAAAGATTCAGGTTGCATTTTTGTCCCTCTTCAGCATTCCATTTTAATCTATTCATCACTGAGGTAGGGCTCCACGATATTAAAATGGGGGGAAACAGATTCACCTATTGCTGCCAAACGGACTTTAAACTAAGTAAACTTGACAGATTCCTGGTATGTGATAACTTCCTAAACCTCTTTCCTTCCGTCTCCATTACTGCTCTCCCACGAGAATTATCTGATCACTGTCTGATCGCACTACGAACCTCCCTCCCTGATTTTGGTAAACCTCCGTTTCGGTTCTTCAACTCTTGGATGTTACGAGACGGCTTTGATGATTTAGTACAAAAGGCTTGGGCGGATTTCAGGGGTTTTGGTACCCCTGATACTTATTTGAAATCAAAGTTGAAATTTATAAAAAACGAAATCAAAAAGTGGAGGGCAACAGATCACCCCAAGGAAATGCAAGAACTCCAACAGATCAAGGCGAGAATGCAGGAACTTGACTTAGCAGCTGAGTCTCGGGACCTCAACGACTCGGAGATTGAAGAAAGGAGATTGGGGTTCAAAAAAATAATTGAACTTGAGAAATTTGCGCTATCCGACATCAAGCAAAGAGCAAAAATCAAGTGGACTGTTGATGGCGATGAAAATTCTTCATTTTTCCATGGATTCATTAATAACAAAAAAAAGGAAGAACTCTATTCCTGGACTCTCAATTGATGGCAGGTGGGAAACACGACCGGAGGCAATCAAACAAGAAGTTTTCAAGTTCTACAGACAGAAATTCCAGGAAAGGTGGCCATCAAGACCAAAGCTCACCAACCTAAACTTTTCAACCTTAGACCCCGCTGATAGTACCAGACTTGAAGCCCCCATCACCACTGACGAAATCAAAAATGCCATTTGGGACTGTGGGTGTGAAAAGGCTCCTGGGACAGACGGATATTCCTTTAAATTCTTTAAAACGTACTGGGACATGCTGAAAATAGACATAATCAAGGCAGTCAAACACTTCGAAAGAACCGGGAGATTTGGAATTGGTTGCAATGCCTCATTCCTTACTTTGGTCTAAAAAATCAAAGACTCGCTTTCAATTGGGGATTTTCGGTCAATCTGCCTCATTGGAAGCATATATAAGATCATTGCAAAGATCCTCGCCAACAGATTAAAACAAGTCATTGGTCAATGTATTGGAGATGTCCAAACCGCCTTCGTGGAAGGAAGAAATATTTTGGATGGACCACTCATAATCAATGAGCTCTGTTCACGGGCAAAGAAGGAAAATGAGAAAATGTTATTGTTCAAAGTTGATTTTAATAAAGCATTTGATACGGTAAATTAGGAATACCTCGACCATATCCAAATGCAGATGGGATTTGGTGAAAAATGGAAGGGGTGGATCCAAGGACGCCTAAAAACATCAAGAGCATCGGTTCTCGTTAATGGTGCACCGACGAACGAATTTGAGTTTAAGCGAGGAATTCAACAAGGCGATCCATTATCACAATTCCTTTTCATCATTGCAATGTGAACCCGCTAAACACCCATTCACAAACCTCGGTGTCCCTGTGGGGGCAAACATGAACCTCACAAAGCATTGGTGCCCTGTGATTGAAAGATTCCGCTCAAGACTTAGCTCATGGAAATACAAGACGTTGTCACTAGGGGGTCGTCTTACACTATCCAAGGCTGTTCTTGGCAGCCTACCCACCTTTTATTCCTTATTGTTTGTTGCTCCTGCAGGTGTCATTAAAACTCTGGAAAAGCTTCGCCGAAATTTTCTCTTGGGTGGTGCGGAGGAATTGAGGAAGATAAATTGGGTCAAGTGGCAGAAGGTATTATCCCCAAAAAACGCAAGTGGGCTTGGACTTGGATCGCTGAAGGCACTCAATATAGCCCTGATTCTGAAATGGTGGTGGCGACTTAAGGTTGATGGGACTAGCCTATCGAGCAGGATCATAAAAGGAATTCATAACCTATATAATAAACCGGCAGATTACATGTTCAAAAAAACATTAACTGGCGTATGAAAAATGTGGCGGGAATTCATAAGGTGCTAACAAAAGTAGACATCAACACTGATGATGTATTCATAAAAGATGTCGGATCCGGTGAAGACACTATGTTTTGGCATGATAGGTGGAAGGGGGACACAACACTGAAAGAATCCTTTACCGTGCTCTACAAACTGGAAATGTACAAGAGATGCAAAGTCTCTGATCGAGTAACCCCAGATGGTCTGGTTTGGAGCTGGAAATCAACCCTTACCTCACCTGATGAAATAAGCCAATTTGAAGCGATCAATGCTCGGGTCGAAGACCACCATCCATTACCCAGGCGAGATAAATGGACATGTAGTCTATCTCATGATGGTGCATTCCATGTGAGGGCACTCAGATCACAAATTGACGGAAGGACTCAAACGTGGTAGATTGTAGTCTATCTCATGATGGTGCATTCCATGTGAGATAAATGGACCTGTAGTCTATCTCATGATGATGTAGTGATAGATTGGATAGATGGCATTCCAATAAAGGTGAGTTGCTTTATGTGGAGGGCAGTTCTCGACCGGCTGCCTACTGCTACAGCCCTAATCAGACGTGGCATTCAACTTCCATCCTTACCTGCACCTTGTGCAGATTAGAACCTGAAGATACAGATCCCGTGATTCTCCGATGTCTAAAAGCTGTGACGGTATGGGAATGTATATTCTGGTGGTGTGAGATACTTGACTCGCATTTCACACATATAAGAGACCTGGTGGAATTCGCCTCTAAATGGGGAACATGCCATAAAAAACGGAGGAGTCTAATTGCTATTTGCTATGGGACAACATGGCTCTTATGGAAAGCACAATGCAATTGGACCTTCAAGAAAAAAAAATAGATTTATACTTTTAAATTTGATTGGCTATGGTAAAATGAATCACTAATAATTAGAAAAAGTATGTAATCATTATCTAATTATTAGTAAAAATAACTATTCAGGGATAATTGGAAAGGGATAGGGATAAATAAAGCCAAAAAATAGATTTATACTTTTAAATTTGATTGGTTATGATAAAAGGAATCACTAATAATTAGAAAAAGTATGTAATTATTATCTAATTATTAGAAAAAATAACTATTGAGGGATAAGGATAATTGGAAAGATAATTATTAGTAAAAATAACTATTGATGGGTAGGGATAATTGGAAAGGGACAGGGATAAATGAAGGATAAATGAAGCCAAAATAAAAATATTATAAATGTCGTGAAAAAGCCGAATGGAATAGTCTACCAACATCATTTGGTGTGCTCAATTAATTGTGTCTAACGTACCCATTGGCCAGCCAGCCCTACTGTGCTTAATTAACACGCTAAAACTAGATGGTAGCCATTCATGCAATGATGTTACGAACAACTTGGTATCCAGTAGCCCTACTTTGCTTACCACGAGAGAGTGGCAGCACTTTTTAACATGTTGTCATTTAAGTCTTTTTAGTTTTTTTTTAAAACCATTAAACTTAGCACGTGTAGTACAGGATAAAACCATTAAACTTATCACGTGTAGCAGTGGTAGTATGTTATTTTAATAAGTTTTATTTTTTTAAAACAATTAAAAGTAAGAGCAAAAGAGAACAGCCGATCAAAATTCATAAGTTAACTTTCTCTCTTCTATCTCCTCTCGCCATAATAGCCAGGCTTGGCAACCTTGGCGCAAGCACCACTCCCTAAGCCTATATAAATACATTTGCTTTCTCCCATGAAATTCACAAATTTATAGAATCTTTTCCACAAAGAGAGAGAAAGACCACTGGAAGAATTAGTCAGGTGCTTCCCTTCTCCAATGATCTTCATACTTCATATAAAACTGTACGAAACTTTATGTCGGCAATCATATATTTGAAGTAAGGGTTTTTGATTTTACACACCATTCTATCCTAAGCCTAGGAAACACCAATCTAATACCTATCTACTAAAAAGTCAACTTATAATAAACCATTTGTAATCAGTTTTTTCGGAAAACAATGCAATTTCAATTAATAAAAATACTTCAAAATTAATTAGGGTTGTCTAAATGGTAAAAATGGATGTCTTTTTAGCCAATCCCTGTTCATATACATTCTACAAAAATCAATGCACATTTGTTTTAAGAAAAAAGCCAGGCGCCTTTTTGGCTTATAAGAAGTTACGCATCTTTTTAACTTTTTTTTTTTTTTTTTTTTCAAACTAACATAGATACATCAAACCTTTAATCTAAACATTTAAATTTTATGATATTTATTATTAAACCTTACCGTTAAATTAATTTTATTTACTATAATTTTAATAATAAAGTATTTTCCAGTGACTTTTATTTAATTTATAATATATTAAAACAAAATATTTCCTATTGCTTTTTTTTCTTGTTTATTTACAAATTAACCCTTAGATACATCAAACTTTTAATTTAGACCTTTAAATTTTATGATATTTATTATTAAACGTAGGTGTTAAATTAATTTTATTTACTACAAACTTAATAATAAAGTATTTTCCAATGATTTTTATTTAATTTATATTATATTAAAGCGAAATACAAATAAAATATTTTGTAATATCAACAAAGTTTTAATTAATGTCATTTAACATTTATATTTTTAAACATAAAGTTGTAACTAAAATATAAAGGTAAACAAACAAAACATACATCCGAACGTTAATAAATTGTTTGACAAAAATAAATTTATTGTTTTTTATTTGATAAATGAATATACATATGTACAAATGCATTATTTTTTTGAGGTAATTTTTTTTATCAATGGACATGGAAAAAATTATGGGTTTATATATTTTTTTAGTCAGTAATATATATATATATATATATATATATATATATATATATATATATATTTATAATTAATGATATTAGGTTTATGAAAATAAAATAAAAAAGTCTAAAAATATGTCAAACAACTTTGGACTTTTTTTTATAACTTATTTTCTAAAAAAGTCACGTATTCTTTTTTTTTTTTGCTATTAAGTTACACAACTTTTGAATTTTTCTAGTTTAATTATTAAAGATATGTCATACAATATATTTATTGATTTTCTTTAAGTTACCCCTCGTTCCAGCCGCCGCCATCGCCTCTTTAAACCCTAACTTTGTCTTTCCCCTTCTCCAGCGATGGTGCCTTGTCATCAAATCTTGAAGAAGAAAACCCTAGTTTCGGATCAGAAGGGTGGCGGTGCTAGGGTTTCGTAAAAGTAACGTTCAAAACAGATTGATGATGGTGGTGTGGGAATCAGATCAGGTTCAAAGGTTGCATAGTCGTGGTGGCGGCCAAGAGTTAACAGAAGAAAGGAAGAGGGCGTCAGAGGTTGGTGAGGGCGGCGGTGATGGCGGATAGTGGTGGCAGTTAGGGTGTTATTGTGTGTGTGTTTCCCTAAGAGAGAGAGAGAAAGAGAGGTGACGGGTGAGGAGATGAGAGGTTCGACCACAAAGAGAGAGAGAGAGAGAGAGAGAGAGAGAGAGAGAGAGAGAGAGAGAGAGAGAGCATTTTTCTTTTCTTTTTTTATTTATTTTGTAAAAAAATTGAAAAAACAAAATACAAAGGGCAAAATCGTCATTTAAAACCATAATGGACCAAACTCGCAACAAAATAAAACTTTTTGGACCATTGGTGCTAGTCCAAACCTGTTTGGCCCAAAGTGGCATTTTTCGACATACCACAAGGACCATTCTTGCAATTTTGTCATATATATATATATATATATATATATATATATAATATATATATATATATATATATATATATATATAATATATATATAAAGTTTGTGGGTTTAAGTCTAAAAGCCACATTTAAAAATTGATGAAAATAAGGTTAAAAAATTAATGAATTTTTTTTTATAAAAACAGTATTATTGTTATCTTTTTTTTATCTTATTAAAAAGTAAGTTTAAAATTAATAAAATTAACAAAGTTAGTAATAAAATTTTATTAAATAATAAAGATAATAATGATTAGGTTATTATGAAATATACATATATAAAAGTTAGTCTAATGATTATTGATGTGATTATTATATGATAATGATATAAAAATAGGGGTCAAAAATAGTGTATGATAGTAGACCGGTATGTCTCTAGTAGGACCCTTGAAGTACACATAAAATACATAGAGCCAAAAGTTATATATATCCTATGAACCACGTAGAGCCAAAAGTTATATATATCCTATGAACCACATGCATAGTCTTCCTGTTTGCTACAATTTTTCCAGTTCACCAGTTCATTCGCTCACTACAAACAAGCATTGGAACTTAAATCAGATTACATGACTATATCTGCACCATTTTTCTTAATGCAGATCGCTGATGGACATGAGCGCAGGTGGGCAAATGTCAAAACCATCAAAAGGAAGCAAAAATTACGATGAGGAACCCCTCCAAAGAGCCCCTTACAAAAAACCTCCATTCACAATTGGGGATCTCAAGAAAGCAATCCCACCGCATTGTTTTAATCGCTCCATCCTTCGCTCTTTCAGTTACCTTTTATACGACCTAACTATTTCCTTCATCATGTACTACCTCGCCTCTCGTTACATCCACCTCCTCCCCCCGCAACCTCTCCTATGTCGCATGGCCTGTTTATTAATTGAATCTTACAAGCGACAATCGTAGGTGGTGTTTGGGTTATAGCCCATGAATGTGGCCACCACGCCTTCAGTAACTACCAATGGGTCGATGACACCGTTGGGTTTCTATTACATTCTTCTCTCCTTGTCCCTTATTTCTCTTGGAAATACAGTCACCGCCGCCACCATTCCAACACCGCTTCACTTGAACGTGACGAAGTCTTCGTCCCTAAACTAAAATCTAATCTCCCTTCATTAGTTGTCTACCTAAACAACCCACCTGGTCGAGTCCTTTATATCTTGTTCGTCCACACCCTAGGCTGGCCTCTGTACCTAATGTTCAACTATGCTGGCAGGAACTACGATAGGGTTGCATGCCACTTTTACCCAAACAGCCCTATTTACTCGAAAAGTGAACGTGCTCAGATCATTGTTTCTGATTTTGGGGTCGTTGTTGTCACTTACCTCCTCTATAATCTAGTAATGACCAAGGGACTCACATGCGTCTTCTGTATGTATGGCGTGCCTATGCTCATTCTAAACACTTCACTTATTTGTGTTACATACTTGCATCACACGCACTCTTCCTTGCCCCACTATGATTCAACGGAATGGGATTGGTTGAGAGGAGCTCTTGCAACAGTCGATAGAGATTATGGGATCTTGAACATATATAACAGGCCACAACATCACTAATACCCATGTCATCCATCATTTTATTCCCAAAATACCTAATTATCATGCAATGGAGGCCACGAAAGCAATCAAGCCCATATTGAAAGATTATTACAGGTTTGATGAAACACCGATTCTGAAAGCCTTGTACAGAGAAGCAAAAGAATGCGTATATGTTAAATCAGATGATAATGAAAAGGCCAAGGGTGTCTTCTGGTTTGACAATAAGTTTTAATCACGGGAGATTGTATAATTGTATTTCACAAAGAAGAAGTTTGAAGCCTATTGCTTAGTAATTTTAGATTTGTATTCGTTTTCGATGCATCTAAAATCGACTTTAATTTGACTTTAGATTATAGTATATAATAAGATGAATAATTTCTTACCACATCTAGTAATTGTTTGCTTACACTACAAGAATAACCAAGGGTGTTGGTAGGATAAATTTTTTCGGGTTTCGGGTAATTCGAGTTTTTCATGTTAAAAAAAATACCCGTTACCTGACAAGAATTAAATTCAGGTAATTCAGCTTTGGGTAATTCGGGTAGTAGGTCGGGTTTGGGGTAATTCGGGTATTACCCGAAATTAAATGTAATTAAGTAAATATGTCGTGCTCTATTAGTCTTATTTATATAAACAAACGAGGCATAAATGAAGTTACTCAAACTTTGAAAATTGATATTTTTTAGTCAATAATTCTTGAGATATCAAGGAATCTTTCACAAACCTAATACCATTTACAAGAAACCAAAATGCAAGAAGCTAATACCTTATTTTCGAAAGCATTTACGAAAATTACTTACGTTGAAGTTTGAAGTCTAAATCAATGTGTGTTGGTGACGACGAGTTGAGTTAAGTTTGAAGTCTACTAGAGATGTCTCTTTGTTTTCGTAGGATTTGATACTTCAATGGAAGAGTCAATAAACAGACAAGGGTTTTTTTAATGATCGTGAATGAGGGTAAAGTCGTAAATAACGTATGGATAAGCGTAGATATTACACAAATGGCACTTTAGTTTTTTAAATGAATCGAGTATTTCGGGTATACCCAAAACCCTATACACACACCCAATACCGGTCTAAAAAAATCCGGGTAACCCAAATACCCGAAAATATATACCCGACACCCGATTTACCCGAATTCAAAACGGTTTGGGTCGGGTAATTGGGTATGGTGTATTTTCAACAGGCCTAAGTATAACTACCTATGGTGATGACACCTACCCCGACGACTCTTGTCGTCATTAAAAGAAGGGTTATGCCGACGACTTGTCGTCCACATAGATTTTTCCTACTTTGACTATAAATGTTTGACATGAAAGTTATGCCGACGAAATGTTGTCCCCACTGATTTAGTGGGAATAATGACTTTTTTCGCGGTCTTCTAAAAAACCTATGTCGACGACAAGGCATTGGTATAGATTACAACAAATCTAACTTTGATTTATTTTTATTCCATGGTGCAAAAAATCAAAACGACGTAGTTTTATGAAAGTTATCCCGACGACTCGTCGTCGGTATGCCACGTGACGGTCCGCGTGAAATATCTATCCCGACATGTTTCCGTTGCAGCAACTTTTTAATTTTTTTTGTTTTCAGCAAAAAAATGAATGACGTCGTTTATGTAAACCCTATACCGACGACTTGTTGTCGGCATAGGGTTTTACCCTAACAGAACTTAGACCATCGTTCATTTGAACAGCGGACGACGAACTCACTTTCTCTCTAGACGAAATTCGCAATTGGCCACTCCTTCACCGGTGACGAGCAGCAGGTACACTATTGGTCAACCTTTTTACTCCAAATTTGTTCTTTGTTAGTGATTGCTCAACCTTTATTCCCAATTTTAGGATTTTTTTCCGGTTGGTAGTTTGTCAGTCGTTCACCACCATCGGTCTTTCACCACCTTCGGCCTTCCCCACCTGGGACTCCACTTTCCTTCCAACTTCTCTACTTCACCGCAGTAGGTAAGAATTTGGCGATTTTTTTCTCATTTTTTTTCCTTTACTGATTTTGTGTTTTTCCTGTGACCACCAGCCACCACCGGAGGACCACCATCAAATATGACCACCGGAATCTGGCCATCACAGCAAGAAGAACAGAACATGTTGGTTTTTTTTCTAATTTTTGTTGAAATTGAAATTGCATGTATAAGTTTATATGAAATTGAAATTGGCCCTTGTATGACTGTATGATTGTATGATTGTGTTACTTGTTTGGTTTTTGTATGATGTGTTATTTGTTTAGGTTTATTTGAAATTGAAATTGTATGTATAAGATGTTAATTTACTTGCTTAGGTTTATATGAAATTGAAATTGTGTATAAAATGTTATATGAAATTAAAATTGTTTAGGTTTATATGAAATTGAAATTGTATGTATAAAATATTAATTTAATTGTTTAGGTTTATATGAAATTGAAATTTTATGTATAAAATGTGAAATATGTATGATTGTGTTGCTTGTTTAGGTTGATATGAAATTGTATGTATAAAATGTAAATTATTTGTGCTTGTGCTACTTGTTTAGGTTTATTGGTTTGAGTGCATGAAGTGATAAAGTGCTTAATTGCTAAGTTAAAATGTTTGTCTTTAAATTCATGATAAGTGCTTAGTGATAAGTTAACGTTTTTGTATTTTAATTAGATAATATGATTGTTTAAAGTATAATGTTATAATTGAAAAACAAAAGTAAATTGTTATAATAGAAAAAAAACAAAATATTTAAAGTACGATGCTATAATTGAAAAAAAAAACAAAAATAAGATGTTAAAAATACTATAAATATAAAAAAGAAGTAAAATGAAATTCTTTTAATAAACAAACTAATAAAAGTATGTTGCTATTAAAGGAAACCTAACTACAAAGGTTATTAACAAACTAATAAAAGTACATTGCTATTAAAGATAATCTAATTACAGAAGTTATTAATAGCAACGTACTTTTATTCGTTTGTTTATTAAAGTATTCTATTTTCTGTTCTTTTTATAGTTTTAACAGAAAACAAAATAATAAAAGTACATTGAATCATTGATTTATAGTTTAAGTCTCTTTTTTATAATCATCAAGATCCTAGAAATATACGTCCGAAATTGATTTAAAAATTAATTTCAGGTTGTCCCCGTTTTGGGACTGCTTTGTGAATACTTTATCTCATTTAGGATTTGAATGTGTATTGTATGATTGTTTGTTTAAGAAAAATTTGGTTGTCATTATCTCCTTGCTCCTCATGTATATATTTCTTTATATACTTGGGAGCTAAGGGGAAATGTTGCCGATTTTTCTCAAACAAACAATCATGCAATACACATTCACATATGAGATAATGTATTCAAAAAGAGGGTTTAGAAGCCCACCCTTGTTAATACTCTATCAATTTCGTCCGATTTTTACTTCTCGCGCGTGTATAGATCTATATATATATATATATATATATATATATATATCTATATATATATATATATATATATATAATACTCTATCCATTTCGTCCGATTCTTTTCTCAAAGAAACAGTCATGAAATACACATTTAAATATAGCCAAAATACAATTTAACTTTCAATAACTATGTACACAATGTAATTTTTAATAATGAAACAGTAAGATCGATACGAGTTGGATTCGTGAAAACAGAACGTCCCCAAAATTCTTGGAAGATCTTAAAAACTTTATGGAGATGAAAGGTCTAGTATGCTCAAGAATCATATTGAAGTGATATTGCTAATTAACATATGATACTAATGGGTCACACTAACAACAACTTGATATAATTGATTATTTATTAGAAATTGCTTTTAATAAATATTCAATAAAACTCTTATAATTAAATTATAAATTATTTATTTCATGAAAATAATAATTTTCATTAGCAAGTAATATAACACATTATTTCATAATGTATGAATTAATAAGTCATGTACAACATTTTGGACTAGGTGAGTCTTTTGTCTTTTACCTAAAGAAAAAGTTTATGTTTTATAAACTTGGATTTATAAAATTTAAACTCTTTATTTCTTTTTTACTCATCATGGTCGAAACTAGTTTGTCTTATGGGAGAGTATGGCCTTTACAATTGTTTAATCTAAAGTAAGCACCTAAGAAAGACATGTTGATGACATAGGGACATGGTTGTCTTAAAGTGCAAAGACCTAATGGTTAAGGACTTTTCTTTATGCTTAAGACTAGTTGCTTGCATTGTGATCATTCATTCTTGAATGCAAAATACAAAACTACCACCTCATCTCTCAATCTCTCTAGTTTTGGTTAGAAAGCTTGAAGAACACTTGCATCTTTTTCTCTCTTTGTGTTCTTATTTTGATAAGAACATAAAGCTTAAGAGTTAAGAGTTTATGGACTAGCATCTACATCAAGTTGAGTCATTGTTGGTGTCTCAAAGGTTCCATCTTCTTCATCAACTTCCAAGCCTCCCAAGAGGATCCAAAGAACAACAAAGGTTGTTATTTCTTCATCCATTCTATGGTTGGTGTTATTATCTTTCTATAATTTGCATGGAGATCCTTGGTGGGTATAAAATGTTATGTTATGTTCAAAAATCTTAAGTCTTCCGTTGCCATATTTTTCTAGTTTATGAAGCTATTTTTGAACTAAAACCCCACATGAGATTGTTGGGAATCATGTTGACTCTGAAGACAAAGTGTGTTGTCCGTGCATAAAGTGTGTGAATATGTATCAATAGTTGCGGAGTATAGTTTATGCCCACATACATGACTGTGGTTTTCAAAAATCATATACTATATGGCATCATCTCGGTGAGAAACGTCATGTTTCGGATTTGGGCTACAATTCGACTCCAATAAACACTCCAACAAACTAATGAGATGTTTTATGTAATTAATGATGTTATGGCAGAACAAAATATAGATGAAGAAAATATATATGAGGAAGGACGAGGAATGGACCTAGAATTTGATGCTTTGTTTAATAACCTCAATACCGAGTTATACCTTGATTGTGAGATATCATCCCTAAACTTTTTGGAAAAGTTGTAGCATATTAAAGTGA